GGGGCAGATACCTTTAGGGCAGGAGTTAGCCAGCCGGCCTCCATTGTGATATACAGATCTATTGGTGAAGGAGAGGCACTTGCCTGACTCCCACTGGACAGACTTTTTAATGCAGTTATTTAGCCTGACCTTTCCTGCCCCACACAGCATGCTCTCCACAGCAGGGAAGCTTGCTGAGAGGAGAGGACAGAAGGTAAGGAGGATAACTGACGCTTCTGCTTGTTTTCCCACTGTCATAGCAGCCATAATGGCTAATTCTAGACCAGAAATTATTTGTTGCAATTACAAAGTATCAGGTAATAGCTTTCAGATTTGCCCAGGGATGTTTTTATAGGAGATTGGTAGACTGTGGAATTTTTAGTGTTGCTGTGCCTGTATTTTTAGGGCCTGTAGGTTTTAGTTTTCCAATTTTAGTTCATTTAAATACATCACTCCTGTGACTAATATTAAAACCAAGCATGGGAACAGCGTATCATGGTATTTTAAACAAGTATTTAGCATGGATTTAGTTGTAGCAAAAGCTTTGTGTGGTAATAAAGTGAAGAGTGGCTCTACTTCCAGCTGGGATTACCATGACGAGGGCTACTAATCCTCGTGCTCTTCATCACCTGCTGCAGGCAGGAATGAATTCTATCCCCCAGAACAAGATTTGCAGAACCTGCTGGGTAAACTGCTGGCTCTGTGCTCCTTCCGTGGAGCATTTCGTCCCTCTGCCAGAGGAGCAAGGTCGGACTGGCAGGAGAGATGATGCTGGGGTGGGATTTGCTCCCCTACAAAGTGGCCAAGGTGGGAAAAGTCCTTTCCTTCAACCTCTGCTGCCAGGGCCACGGGGGGCACGGTGAAACCGTGCTGCCCTCCCCAGCCCCGCTGCAGCTGCCCGTGCCCGGCCGGTTGCTCCGGAGCTGGTGAGCACCCTGCTTGGCATCCCCGGTCCCCCGGCAACGCCAGCATGCTCCCCCGCCTCAATGGGTGGCTGGGAAAAGCCTTTGCCCTGGCAACCTGAAACAAAGTTGGGTCTGTCCCGGAGCTGCAGCCCTCCCCCAGGTTGAGGGGGGGTCCTGACAGGGCTCAACCGGGATTCCCACAGGAAACTGGTCCCCAGGCTGCTCTGACCAGGCGAAGATGCAAAAGATGCTCCTGGGACGCCCCATTTCCCCCTACTCCTGCCCTGCATGGGCAGCCCCAGCCCGCAGCACTGCACCCCATCCCAGGCAGGGACGCCCTGTGGACCCCGAGGGGGTGAGGGTGGGAAATGAGGGGACAGGGGCTCACCTCTGCTGAGTATGTGACTTCGGAGGACGAGGCAGGTTGAAATGGGCTCCCCCAGCTTCCGGGGGGGTGACAGCCCACATGTCCCCCGCAGATGGTGGTTTGTCATTTGAGCTGCAGACCTCTGCAACCACTCATCTGCTCAGGTAGAGAAGCTTGTCTGGGGGATTGGCGTGCAAAACAAAGAGTGTGCCGAAGGGGAGAAAGCAAAGATGCCGGGCAGAGGCTGGAGCTGCTGGTCCACGGCCTGCTATGGCCCCTGCTGAGAGCGCAGCCCTGCCTTGTCCCACCCTCCCCAGTGCAGCCGTGGTGCCACCAGCCCGGCCGAGCCACCCAGGCACCACGTGCCCCCGTGCTTGCCCGCTACAGCAGCCAGGCTTAGCTTGGCTGTGTATAAGCTGCCTCGTGTGGGCTTAAAAATAACCCTGGGAAGCAGGCAGGGTGGCAGAGCCCTAGGGGCATCCTGGCCCTGCCATGCTGTGCCCCTGCAGCACCATGCCCAATCCCATGCCAAAACACCTCTGCCCTGCTTCGCTCCCCAGACAGGGCTAAAATCCATCAATTTAGAGGGACAAGCAACCCTCTCCCCACTGATCCCCCCTGCCTTCCCACAGCCGAGGATGCAACCAC